GGTTTGTGGGGGCAATAAGCTGACTTTGTATAAAATATACAAAAGTATGAAGGCTATTGCTTAACGCATTGTAAGCCGCCCTGAGTCTCCGGAGAAGGGCGGCATATAAAAATAAATAAAATAAATAAATACATAAATTGGTTTTAGATAGGCCCCACGTAAAATGGGACAACCCCCTGAAATCTCAAACCCACCTGGATGCACCATCCTTCTTAATGCCACACTTTATCCTAGGGGTGTCCAACTTTGTCAATTTTAAGACTGGTGGACGTCAACTCCCAGATGTCTATGGAGATTCTCAGCCATCCGGGTCATGGTTATCCAAAAGGTGCTTTTTCCAAGAGGCAACTGGACCTTCTGGTTTTTCTTTGAAGACGTTTCGCTTCTCATCCAAGAAGCTTCTTCAGCTCTAGAGAGCTGGATAAGAAGCGAAACGTCTTCAAAGAAAAACAAGACAGTCCAATTGCCTCTTGGAAAAAGCACCTTTGGTTCAACTCCCAGAATTCTCACAACCAGCCATGCTGGCTGAGGAATTCTGGGAGTTGAAGTCCACAAATCTTGAAAGTTTGACAAGGTTGGACGCCCCTGTTTTATGCCAATGGAGGGCAACTGTTTTCAGGTGAATACCCCATACAGGTCACAAAGGGGTGCCTGTTGGTTTTCAGGGGGATCTTCTTGGAAATGTCTGCGAGAGGCAGACACACTTGCTGTGGACTGGAGGCTCTGCGTAGAGTGGCAGCCGTCCTTGCAGGACTCAGTTTTGTTCCAGATGCCTGAATGGATGGCACTCAGATGTCTGCTCCAGATGCCTAAGTGGATGGGAGACCACCAGGACTGGCAAGTTAGAATAGAATAGAAATAATAGAATAGAATAGAATAGGAATAGGAATAGGAATAGAATAGGAATAGGACAGGAATAGGACAAGGACAGGAATAGGAATAGGACAGGAATAGGAATAGGAATCGGAACATTTTTTTATTTTTATTTTTATATGCCGCCCTTCTCCGGAGACTCAGGGCGGCTTACAATGCGTTAAGCAATAGCCTTCATACTTTTGTACATTTTATACAAAGTCAGTTTATTGCCCCCACAAACCGGGTCCTCATTTTACCCACCTTAGAAAGGATGGAAGGCTGAGTCGACCTTGAGCCTGGTGAGAATTGAACTCGCAGTAATTGCAGGCAGCTGGATGTTAAATGCTGCCTTAGTAGGAGGCATTAGCCTCCTACGCTACTCAGGCTCCTTAGGAAGGAATTGAATTGGATTGGATTGAATTGAATTGAATTGAATTTTATTGGCCAAGTGTGATTGGACACACAAGGAATTTGTCTTGGTGCATATGCTCTCGGTGTCCATAAAAGAAAAGATACATTTGTCAAGAAACATAAGGTACAAAACTTAATGATAGTCATAGGGTACAAATAAGAATAGAAATAGAAATAGAAATAATAGAATAATAGAATAGAATAGAATAGAATAGAATAGAATAGAATAGAATAGAACAATCAAATCATATTAAAAACCAGTCAATATAAATCTTAAGGATACCAGCCAACAAGGTTGCAGTCAATACAGTCATCAGTGGGAGGAGATGGGTGGTGGGAACGATGAGAAGATTAATAGTAGTGCAGACTTAGTGAATAGTTTGACAGTGTTGAGGGAATTATTTGTTTAGCGTCCGGAGAAGAAAAACTGTTATTGCAAGTTTTTTTTTTTTTTTTTTTTTTACTATCAAATTTGCCATGGCAAACCTCTGATCCTATTGCTCAAGCTGCCAAGAAGGGGTGCCAGGAAGCAACAGGACCCCTTTACCTCCCCAAATCCCGCTGCTTTCCTCCAGAACCACCGACCCTCCCTCGTTGAAACCAGGCGCTCGGGATCCAAAGCCGGGGCTGCGCTCTCTTGGCTCCCGCGGGGGTGGGAATCCCGGCTTTCGCGGGCTGAGCGCGCTTTGGGCGGCTCTGCAGCGCTTCTCGTCCGCCCGGGGCTTCCAGAAGGCGGGGAGTTTTCCCGCCGGGAGAACCGCGAAGAAAAAAGATTGCCCGCTTCGGCAACTGCCGAGCCCGGCCCTCGGAAGCGCCGCTGGCTGGCTGGCTGCGCAGCCGCTCGCTCCCTTCCCTTCCTCAGCGGCAGCCCCGGCGGCGCAGAGAGGTTCGTTTCAGCCCCGAGTGGAATGGGATGGATGGGATGGGATGGAATGGAATGGAATAGAATGGAATATGAAATGGAATAAGGAATAGAATAGAATAGAATAGAATAGAATAGAATAGAATAGAATAGAATAGAATAGAAAACATGGAATGGAAAATATGAAATAGAATAGAATATGGAATAAGGAATAGAATAGAATAGAATAATAGAATAGAATAGAATAGAATAGAAAACATGGAATGGAAAATATGGAATAGAATAGAATAGAATATGGAATAAGGAATAGAATAGAATAGAATAATAGAATAGAATAGAATAGAATAGAATAGAATAGAAAACATGGAATGGAATAGAAAATATGGAATAGAATAGAATATGAAATGGAATAAGGAATAGAATAGAATAGAATAGAATAGAATAGAATAGAATAGAATAGAAAACATGGAATGGAAAATATGGAATAGAATAGAATAGAATATGGAATAAGGAATAGAATAGAATAGAAGAATAGAATAGAATAGAATAGAAAACATGGAATGGAATAGAAAATATGGAATAGAATAGAATATGAAATGGAATAAGGAATAGAATAGAATAGAATAGAATAGAAAACATGGAATGGAAAATATGAAATAGAATAGAATATGGAATAAGGAATAGAATAGAATAGAATAATAGAATAGAATAGAATAGAAAACATGGAATGGAAAATATGGAATAGAATAGAATAGAATATGAAATGGAATAAGGAATAGAATAGAATAGAATATAGAAAACATGGAATGGAAAATATGAAATAGAATAGAATAGATAGATAGAATAGAATAGATAGAATAGAATAGAAAACATGGAATGGAATAGAAAATATGGAATAGAATAGAATATGAAATGGAATAAGGAATAGAATAGAATAGAAAACATGGAATGGAGTGGAAAATATGGAATGGAATAGAATGGAATAGAAAACATGAAATGGAATGGAAATATGGAATGGATAGAATAGAACTAGAGAAAGAATAGAATAGAATAGAATAGAACAGAATAGAAATTCCCTTTCTTAGCGGCAGCCCTGGCCGCGCAGAGAGCTTCGTGTGCTGCTGGAAGCACCTTCGGTGGCCCGGCTGGGTGGGAGGCAGGCAGCCCTGGCTGAGTTTGCCTGGGCTCTGGACTTTTGGTCTTGGATGGGAGACTACCGGGAAATGCCAGAGGGAAGCTAGGCTGGGAACCCGGGAAGGACTTCCCAGCAGATTTAACCGGAGCCATTTTCATCTGGAGGGTCCCCGAGGGTGGATCAGGAGTGGCAAGAGCCAGGTTGGGCTTCGGCCACAGAAATCCGGGGGAAGGGTTGGGAAAGGCTGGGGCTGTCCTGGAATGGAAGAGGGCTTCAAAGGGAGATCAGTGGCTTCGCGGCAGGCTTGGGTTTGGCCAGCTCCCTGGGTCTCTCAAGACATTTTTCCAACACCGATGGTCTCTGGGACCAGGGCAGGCTTGCCTGATCCGGTGGGAAGGGGGGAGGGGAAGGATGGCAGGGGTGAGCAGGGGATGGAAATGAAGGCACCAGGAATGTTCCATTGGGGGATGGGGGAAAATCCTCAGGTTATGGCCAAAGGTGTGGAAGTAGTAGTTTTGATAGTGTGATTGAAACTTGGATGGAGTGGGAATTAATAGGAATAAGAGTAGAACAGAATAGAATAGAAAAAATGGAATGGAATGGAATGGAATAGAATAGAATAGAATAGAATAGAATAGAATAGAATAGAATAGAATAGAATAGAATAGAACAGGAGTAGGAATAGGAATAGGAATAGGAATAGGAATAGGAATAGGAATAGGAATAGGAATAGGAATAGACCCTACAATTTCTGACAGAAGAGAAGACAGGGGCAAGGGGGAAGGAAGGAGGAAGGAGGAAGGAGAACCAAGGAAGGGAAAAAAAGAAAAGGGAATGGAATGGAAAGGGAGAAAGGAAGGTAGGAAAGAAAAAAGAGAAGAATATTAGAATGTGGAGCGAGGAAGAAGGAAAGAGCAAGGAAAGGAAATGAAAGGGGATAGATAGAATAGGTAAATAAGTCACTGTTTGTATATTTGTACATATGTGTTTATATAATCACATGTATTTAGTACGTTAGTGTAACTGTGGATGGAAAATGTAAATTTTATGAGTGAGAAAACCTGTATATTTTCTCTTTTCTTTTCTTGTTAATATTTTTAAATTCAATTTTTTAATTTTTTAATTTTTATTTATTTTTATATGCTGCCTTTCTCCGGAGACTCAGGGCGGCTTACAATGCGTTAAGCAATAGCCTTCATACTTTTGTATATTTTATACAAAGTCGCCTTATTGCCCCCACAAACCGGCTCCTCATTTTACCCACCTTAGAAAGGATGGAAGGCTGAGTCGACCTTGAGCCTGGTGAGAATTGAACTCGCAGTAATTGCAGGCAGCTGGATGTTAAATGCTGCCTTAGTAGGAGGCATTAGCCTCCTACGCCACTCAGGCTCAAAATAAAGTTTGTTTTTTAAAATTAAAGAAAGGGGGGAGGGGAAGGGAAGGAAAGGAGAAAGGAAAGGAAAGGAAAGGAAAGGAAAGGAAAGGAAAGGAAAGGAAAGGAAAGGAATCCTCAGTCTAAGGCAGTGTTTCTCATCTTTGACAACATTTAAGAAGTGTGGATTTCAACTCCCAGAATTCCCTAGCCAGCAGGTTGAAAAACACTGCTTTAAGCTATTGCCCCTATTACAAGGAGGGGAACATCTCAGAGACAGAGCCTCCGTACTTAATTCTCACTGCCCCTTTGTGATTCAAAGAAACCAACATAGAGTTTGTTTTTGTCTTATTTCTTCTCAACAGGTCCTTGGGATTTGACGCTCTTTTCAACAACAGGCAGCAAGGAGAGAAGATGGACCTGATTTCGGCCAAAGCAGCTCCCACCAGGAGGAATCTTTTCGGCCCAGTGGACCACGATCATTTGCTGCAGGAGTTCCAGAGCATGATGAGATCCAGCATGGAACAGGCGAAGCAACGGTGGAACTTCGACTTCTTACAGGATATGCCCGTCGCGGGACTTCTCCAGTGGGAAGAGCTGCAGGGCCACGAGGTTCCCGCCTTCTACCACACGCACGTCGTCAGGGAGTCTCGCCCGCCTCTGCAGCCCGTGAACAGGACTGTGGACAGGGAAGGGAAAGTTCACCTCCTGGGTAGAGAGGCGGAAAGAGGCAGACCGGTCAAAACAGCGACGCTACGGAAGAAGCGAAGACAGACGTATTTGACAGGTATGTATGTCAGGGCGGTGTTTGGTGTGGCTCACCAGCGGATCTGGCAACAGATTCGGACAGTGAGGAGATTGGGGAGGAACATGGGCCGGTCCTGGAGTCTGGGGAAGGCTCCGATGAGGGCTCTGCGTCGGAGGCAGAGAGGGGACCAGGGCCGTATGCCAGTTATCAGCTGCCTTTGGAGTCGGACATCAGTGAGGCAGATGAACAGCTGGAGCCTGTTCCCTCCCCACTCCAGGGGAAGGATACTGCAAAATCTCCATTCCCTCCCCACTCCAGGGGAAGGATATTGCAAAATCCCCATTCCCACCCCACTCTGGGGCCAGCCAGATGTGGTATTTGCGGTTCTCCAAACTACTCAAAATTTCCGCTACCGGTTCTCCAGAACCTGTCAGAACCTGCTGGATTTCCCCCTGAAATGAATCTGTCTTCCCTTTGACTTTGATTATCAGAAGATTGCGAAAGGGATCACATGACCCGGGATACTGCAACTGTCATAAGTACATGCCAGTTGCCAAGCATCTCAATTTTGATCATGTGACTCATTGGGATGCTGCAGCGAAGTGTGAAAAAGGGTCATCCGTGACTTTTACAGGGCTGTTGTAACTTTAAACCGTCACTAAATGAAGATTGTAAGTCAAAGACTACCTGAGATGGTCCTCGACTTACAACTGGTTGCTTAGCAACCATTCAAAGTCATTCAAGATACTTACAACCCAGATTTGAAGTTCCAAGAACTGTCTTCCTCCCTGGTCATGTGACTGTGATTTACAGTATATTTTTTTTGACAGAAGCTGGTCCTTATTTTCAGTTTTCAGGGGAAAAAACGCCCATTATGAAAAATAGGTTCGTTTAACGGCTGTGGCATTTTTTTAATGACTGCTACGCTTGCTTAATAATTGCTCCCCCCCAAAAAAAATGTTGCGAATTGGGTTCAGTCACATGATGACCCCTTTAATGACCAGCATGATTTATGGCCATAATTCCAGGCTCAATTGTGGTCATAAGTCAAGGACTACTGATCTACTACTCCGGATCTTTCGATATCCTTTGAGTAAGATTCGTCTTCAAAGAAATTCAAGTGATCTTATTAATTGGTCAGATTAAAAAAAAGCCAGATAGCAAAATGCAGATATGCTTCCTGGATGCTTTATTAAAGAAGACATATACAATGTAAACAACAGATGACCCTGGGGAAGTCAAAAAAGTCAAGATGGCGACTGTGGGAGCACACTGAATGTTCCACTCCCTTTTTTACCTGAACTGTTGTTGTTGTTTTTTAAAAAATCTTATTTTATGTCCCTTTTTTATATGCATGTGTGATGCATATGCAGAAAGGGTATTAATTGCACAGTCTCAACTGCCATCTTGACTTTTTTGACCTTGGTTCTGTCCCTGCAGAGCCCTTGATGGAAGCCTATCATTTCTCAGGCTGATTTTTTTAATTGCAGGAATGTAACTGGGGATTGGTTTTATTGGGGGGTCCAGAACAGTAGTGAAATTCAATTTTTTTTACTACCAGTTCTGTGGGCATCGCTTGGTGGGTGTGGCTTGGTGGGCATGGCAGAGGAAGGATACTGCAAAATCTCCATTCCCACCCCACTCCAGGGGAAGGATATTGCAAAATCTCCATTCCCACCCCATTCTGGGGCCAGCCATAGGTGGTATTTGCTGGTTCTCTGAACTACTCAAAATTTCCGCTATCGGTTCTCTGAACTACTCAAAATTTCCGCTACCGGTTCTCCAGAACCTGCTGGATTTCACCTCTGGTCCAGAAATATGAGAATACACATCTTGACTTGTTCCCTTCCAAAAAAAATCTACCATCTCCTTTTTCATAAGATTTCCATCCTGCTCACTCTGGAGAAATCTTTCCATGGATCCCTTCTTGTCATTACTTGTCAGTGTGGATTTTTATTTCTTTATTTCTTTATTGCAGATTATTATACAACAAAGAAGCAGATCAGGACAGATATGCAAACACCTGTAAAGAAATTGGCCTTCTAAACTGATGGATCGCTTCCCAGATATTTTTTTCCCCTCTTAAAAGAACTTCCAAGCTTATACAACACTTCAGAATGATCTCTACTGATAACAAACCCTTTGTAGCTGCGCGTAGAAGGAGGTGAAAATGAGAACAGTTATTAAAAGAACAAAACTCTTATGAAACGGCAATCCAGCCAAATAAAAACTGAATAGCTCAGGAAACTTTTTTTTTAAAAAAAAAACTGATTGTCAAGTATGAAAAAGACCGATTGCAGCAACAATCTCATTTCAAAACAAATTGCTTATCGTATTATTGTCAGAAACGTTTAAAATACTGCATATGAACAAACGGGGAGCAGCATTCTACCACTTTCCGTGTTGTGTTTTTTATTTTATTTTTTTACTTGTTTCATATATATAAGGTTTTCATCTCAGCGCGAAAAGCAGAAATGTTTACCGGCTTCGTGAATTTTAAGTTTTGGAAACGGAATCAGAATATCTGTTTCTCTATTTGCACCCAACTCTTTTTAAGGAGCATATTCAGTTTCCATTCAGAAGTTACTAAATTTTACCATTTAGTGCAAGTGGATTGCCTCCTGCAATCTTCCCCCCCTTCGCCCCCTTAACTAGTCCCTTCCCCCCGTTTCTTATGGCAGCTGAAGCAGGCAAAGCTGAGGCTGACATTCGGCCCCTCTTGCAGAAGAGACGTTATTCCTAGATAAGAGGAAGGAAAAGAGAGAGAAACAGAATATATACAATAATTATGGTTTATCTGGGTATTTGGTATAGAATTGCTGTATTTTCTTGGGAGCTCGGACATCCCGTTTATTCACCCATTCAGCCTGAGACAAAGGGAAATGTTTCCAGGCTATCAGATATTGGACTTTACCATGGTGTTTCCTAGAGTCCAAGATTTCCTTAACTTCAAAATGTTGCTCCCCCTCTATGAGAATGGGAACTGGAGGGGTGCTTTGGTCAGCCCTTAGGGGAGACGAGTGTTCAGGTTTTAATAAACTAACATGAAATACAGGATGTATACGTCTCAACGTTTTTGGCAATTCCAAAACACACACAAAAAGGGTGGAGTTTGATCTCACAATTGCTAGCACACCTTGATTATTATTATTTTTTTACACAAAATGCTGTATCTTGCAGCTGGAAAAACCTAGAAAAATGGGTTTTGCAGCCTGCTTTTGGAAGTCCTCTGTCCTTTGGATCAGAATTCTTTTCATAACAATATGTTTTGATTGCAATAGATGTTTGTTTTAAATATTCCTGGAGAACATGTCTTTAATCATATACTGTATGTGTGTTGTGTGCTTTAGATTTAGTAAAGCTGGGTTTAAAAGCAGACGAAGGTGGGATAATACAAGCCTGGCCATATTTTGCTAAATTTATATCAACTATGAATTGGCTTTATTCAGATGCATTCGCGAAAAACGGCACATGTCCCTCAGATTAAACCGTAAATCCTACATCATGTATTCTACGTTACATTTTGTCATTAAATCCCTGGTTTTGGAAGATTAAGCATGATGGTATGATGTAATATGTCTGCTTTTGGGCTATTCGATGTATAACCCGCATGGAAGGTTGGATCTTATATTGAGAAGGCTTCAGGCATTCTTCTACGAAAATCTGGGCGACCACTAGATATCAACCCAGAGCCAGAAATCTTGAACTTTTTGCTGCCATCTCCTGCTTATTCAGCTCCAGTCCTTCTAGTCCAGAGGTCGGCAACCTTAAACCCTCAAAGAGCCACAAAGGTCCTAACCGGAAGCCCCCCGTTCAATTCTGGAGCCGACCGGAAGTCCGGTTCCCCCACCATAGAGTCTCCTCCTAGTGCGGTGTCCTTTTTCCTCTACCTGTCCTAACTGAATGTCCTATCAATTGAGCTGGCTGGAAAACCCGACCCTTGCCATAGAGCAGTGTTTCCCAAACTTGACCCTTTGAAGATGCATGGACTTCAACTCCCAGAATTCCTCTCAGGCATACTATTCCTCAACCAGGCATACTGGCTGGGGAATTCTGGGAGTTGAAGTCCATGCATCTTAAAATAGCCAAGTTTGGGAAATACTGCCATAGAGTCTCCTGGCACGGCATGCTTTCCCCCCCTAACTGGAAGCTCCTCTCAAAATTGTGGCGCCGACCAGTGACAGGGAGCCATAGCAGAGGGATGAAAGAGCCACATGCGGCTCCAGAGCCACGGGTTGCTGACCCCTGCTCTAGTCTTATCAAAATCTTTGACACTCTCGAATAGAATATTGTATGAAAGCAAATCATATGAAAATAAAAATTGGTAAGTAATGCTGTTACTCTTAGAATGGATGTCATTCATCTGTCCTGTGTTATTTCAGAGGTTTTGCTTTTTTAAAAAAATTCTTAAAATGTCATGTAGGGACAAAATGAGCTCTCTAAAATGGCTGAGTGAAAATTAAAGCAGCGCGGTTACTGTATCCCACCTCCCCAAATCTCTATAGTGCCCCCCCAAAAAATCAAAGCCAGTGGTGGTACTGTCCTTATTTATTTCAAAACAATTTAAGAAAAGTTATTGGTGGATTTCCTGCCTTTATTTCTCTTCCCTCTTGAGCGTCATTCGCTGGCAGGAAATCCGTCACTCTTCTTAAATTAAGCTGGGCAAGGATGGAAGCCTGGAAGGGTGCTAAAGAATGACCCAGTTTAACCACTTTCTCCAGTGACGCAAACCACAAATAGCAAGCGCCAGAGGTTGAAGCAGGAGAGATGTGCATCACGCAGGCTATTTTTGAATTCTGGTCTGGGGCTTTTCTAAAAGAGCGCCAAACCCATGTTCTGAAACAGCTCAGATTATGGAGATTATTCAATCATCCCAGTCATGGTTGTCCCAAAGGTGCTTTTTTCCCAAAAGGCAACTGGACTTTCTTGATATTTTTTTTCTTCGACAACGTTTGGCTTCTCATCTTACAAAAAACTTCTTCATGAAGAAGCTTGTTGGATGAGAAGCAAAGAAAAAAAAACCAAGTACAGCCTTTTTGGAAAAAGCCCAAATAGCAATAGCACTTAGACTTATATACCGCTTCACAGTGCTTTACAGCCCTCTCTAAGCGGTTTACAGAGTCAGCCTATTGCACCCAACAATCTGGGTCCTCATTTTTACCAACCTCGGAAGGACGGAAGGCTGAGTCAACCTTGAGCCTGGTGAGATTCAAACTGCCAAATTGCAGGCAGCTGGCAGTCAGCAGAAGTAGCCCTGCAGTACTGCACTCTAAACCACTGCGCCACCGTGGCTCGTGACAGATAAACAGACCCGGGGAGGACAGGATGAAGCAGAAGGGAACAATCAACTGTAGGATAGTTTTGGAGTGATCAAAAAATCCAGTTGTGATCTCATGGCTGGTGCCACCCAGAAGCAGCTGGTAGACAGCCATCGGGAACGCACGATGGTGATTGGTCCACATGGAAATGACAGTCGTCACCAGACTCACCTGGGGCCAGAAAATAATGCAATTGCGGCTTCTTTGCTTCATTCCTGATCCCAACAGGAAGGTTTGCAGGTGGGGACAATTTCAGGCCAATTTTGAAACAGCTATGTGAACTTTCCCAGTGGATGCAGCTCAGGGGTGAAATGCTCCCGGTTTGGACCGGATCGCCTGATCCAATAGCGATGGCGGTGGGTGGTTCGGAGAACTGGTAACAAAAATCCCTCCCCACCCCCATGCCCGGCTGAGCCACGCAATCATCAGAGGCTTTTTATTTTATTTTTAAAAGCATTTTTTCTACAACGTCTTCGGCCGAAAAAATGCTTTTAAAAGTAAAAAAAAAAAAGCCTCTGCCGATCAGGCAAGTCAGCTGGGATCATCAGAGGCCTTTTTTTAAAAAAAGAAAAGCCTCTGCCAATCAGGCAAGTCAGCTGGGATCGTCTGAGGCTTTTAAAAGCATTTTTTACAACCTGTTTGGTCGAAGAGGTTGTAGAAAAAATGGTTTTAAAAGTTAAAAAAAAAAAAGTTGGCCACGCCCACTCAGTCATATTACCACCCTCCACCAAGTCACGCCCACAGAACCGGTAGTAACAAATTTTACATTTCACCACTGATGCAGCTGCTTTAATGCTCCCCAGAGAGAGGCTTCTCTTGCACTAACATCAGGGGTGGGATTCAACCGGTTCAGATCGATTCGGGAAAACCAGATGTTAATTTTAATTTGGTTCACAGAACCGGTCGTTACAAGGACTGGCTGACCCCGCCCACCCCGCCCCTTCACTCCCAGGAGTCTCCACATTGGCCCGTTTTGGATGCGAGGTAAGTGCAGGTACCGCACGGAGGCTCTGGGAGGGCGAAAAACAGGCCTACCGGAAGTACCGTGAATCCGGAAACGGACCCTTTTCCGGCCTCCGGAGGGCCTCCAGAGGCCGGGGGAGGCTGCTTTCACCCTCCTGGAGGCTCGAGGAAAGCCTCCGGAGCCTCGGGAGGGCAACCCCCCACCCCCACCCCATGGTGCAGGAGGCCAAATAGGCCATGCCCCCATGGCCAAGCCCACCCAGCAACCAGGCAAGGCACCGATTGTTACATTTTTCAATCCAACCTCTGATTAACATGCTTTGTGAAGGACTTCCTTCTCATGATCCACGTATCTCTCCTTTACACACCTAAAACAGGGTTAGGAGATGGACCCAAATATTTTTTTAAGTTCTTTGGGTCTTGTTTAGTTAAGAAACATGAAACCTGTTGAAAGCAACTGCTGTCCAGGGAGGCTGGAAGGAGAGTTGTTGAAGTAACATTTATGGCTTGTACCAAGTCTTTTAAAAAAATGTTAACGCGGATTTGGATTATGCTTGGCATTTTTAGAGACACTGTTTACAACCTGATAGCTACATATAGTTCAGTGGTGGGTTCTAACCGGCTTTACTACCGGTTCTCTTCGTGCACGCGCTTCGCTTCACTCGCATGTGTGCCAAACTTGCGCTCCATGCAAGCGCATTGGGAATCTGCCCAGCTGAGGTGCGGCAATCCACTCTGCCACACCTACTAGCTGGCCTAAAAAAGAAGAAATAAAAGGTAAGAATAATGCGCGGGCGGGAGGGCCCAGCTCCCGGACAAAGAGAACCGGTTCGGTGATGTCATATTGGCACCACTACCGGCTCGGCCGAACCGGGCTGAACCGGGAGGAACCCACCACTGATATAGTTATGTGTTCTAACCTTTTAGAAATAGATGGGATTATTCCACTTACTGTAATCCAGTGTTTCTCAGCCTTGGCAACTTTAACTTCCCCAGCCAGCATGGGGAATTCTGGGAGTTGCAGTCCACACATCTGTAACTTTCTTAAGCAATTCTAATAGCTAGGGGAGGCCTAAATTATCCAGTATACAAAGTGTGTGACTTGAGATGAACCCATGGGAAGGAGACGGTTTCATTTGTCCATCCAGCTTTGTTGTTTAACAAAGTTCACCACTCAATTTCCATTGTGAATCACATCCTGAGGAACTACTAAAGCTTCTCCTAATGTTTGAAGAGATTATTATTTTACTACCAACAAGAAAGACTTCCTCCTTCACTCAGGTAACCAAAGCAGTTTCAACTACATATCCCAGCTACAAATCCAGGTGACTGACACTAATCATACCATCCAGATAGGAACCTCAACAGATAGGTTCCTCAGTGTAAGCTAGTCCACATATTTAATTTTAGATTTAAATACGAGAGGCCATTGCTCTGAATATTTGTTTGATGCTTTCCACTTGCTTTCTGATGGGGATTATGAATTAAATGCTCTTCCCGTAGGTCCGCTAACTGAAAAGTTTAGAAAATTAGCTTGGCAGTTGTAAACATTTGTAACCCCACTTGACCTATTCGTTTCTGACTCCACCCAAGTTCTTGGCAGGTGTTCAGATATCCTGGCAAAAGCTTCAGACATCCGCAGCGATGGATGCCAACGGATTGTTTTGTCTGTAGATGTGGCAGAGAGATGAGGAAGTTCAGAATTGGCTGCCCTGTTAATATGTTCCTCGCAAAATATGAAATTCCACACCTTCTCCGCCAGGAACTTACCAGAATTAGATTTCTGCAAAATAACAACGCTTCCCAGGGTGTTGTTTGTCTTTCTAATCTTTGGTCTGTGGCCTCACACAATTTTCAAATGTTGGCCATAGCAGGAATGATTAGAGTTGTCTTGGAATTGTAGCTGGAAGAGATGGGAAGGGAAGGGAAGGGAAGGGAAGGGAAGGGAAGGGAAGGGAAAAGGCACTTCCTAAATTCAGTGGAATAAATTTGCTGTGCTTGAATCAGATAATAATAATAATAATAATAATAATAATAATAATAATAATAATAATAATAATAATAATAATAATTATTTTATTTCTATACCGCCCTTCTCCCGAAGGACTCAGGGCGGTGTACAGCCTATTTAAAAACAGAATAGACATCAATTTAAAATAATTTAAAAGTATTAAATAAATTTGGCTTAATTTAAAACCCCCAAAATTTAAAACATCCAATTTAAAATTATGTTGCTAAAAGATGGCTAAAAGATTAAGCTCTCATCATTTCTAC